TTATTTATGAGGTTAAAGTATGCTTTGAACAATGTCTTTTCTCCTGAGGGAAAGAACAAAAGTCTCTCCTGGAAGATTTCCACGAATGGCTGAGGCTTATTACTGCATATTTCTCCTTGATCTCCGTACTGTATCCTTGTGCTCTGAGCAAGGTCTTTGCTTATGAAAGAAGAAGTCTCTCCTGAAACATTTCCATGAATGCCTGTAGACTTATGGCTGCATGTTTCTCCTTGATTTGTATTTTCCATATCTGAATTACTTCTATTGATGTCAGGGGTCGACCGGTATGTTGTGGAATGAAAATGAAGAGCCGTGTGCTATCACAAGATATGATGGAGACATGGCCTTGACGTATGTTTCTTGCTGTGCTTCTCCAATATGCTATGAGAAACATTACCGAGACTACATGATAGCTTCACTGCCGAATCTGAAAGTCTTAGATGATTTACCTGTCAGAAAGGCTGATAGGGAAAGTGCTTCTATCACATTTTCAAAATCCTTTGAGTACTTGCCATATAAGCGAAAGTATAAGGAGAGCGTAGTTAGTCTCTTGCATAAACGTGAGATAAAAGGAAGTCGCTCTTGTCCACAGATTAACCATCAGAAGTCTTCTTCACCATATGGAAGTTCACAGTTCTTCTACACACGTTCTCTTTGTGCTGCCAAAGTGGGATCTACTGCTCGGCCTTCCTTGCATCCACTGTCTATATCAAGTTGTGATTTGTCAAGTGGAGGCAGAAGCTTTCGTCCAAGGCAGTTTGAGTACCATCCAACTATCTCTAGCCTAATGGTTTTTGGTACTTTAGATGGTGAAGTGGTTGTAGTCAACCATGAGACTGAGAAAATTGTTGGTTGTGTTACTTACTTTGGAGCAATGAATAGCGTACTGGGCCTCTCGTGGCTCAAGAAGTATCCCTCCAAGGTATGTGATGATTGCATATATGATAGTATCCATCTCCATAGCCATTTAAAATTGTTCAACTGTATGTCAATGTTTAGAGAAGTGAATTACTCGTATGTGCCAATTAATGACCAAGAAACTAGGTGCGCTTTTACATGGTGCTACTCTAGTTATCAGTCTTTTATTTATTTTACCTTCTGTGAAGCTAACTTAGTTTTTGCAAGTTCAAGATGGGAATTTTGTGAGATTAAAATAGCATGATGGGCAATAACATCATTTCTGATAAATAAATATTTTGATTGTGAGATCCGTTGATTGGCCTTGTACAGCCTGTTAATTGTCATTGCTCATGGCTGCTTTACTTCTTCCATATTCTTCCTATATTTAGTATTATATTTTGGGATTTTCCTACATGTTTTCTCCTTTGAGTTCAGGGCGTTCGTGAAAGCTACAAGTCAGAAAGAATGATTATTTCACGTATTCACCTATTCTTTTAGTTATCGACTGGTCTTGATATCAAAACACCATCATGCCTTAGGAAGGTCTTATTGGCTATTATCTGTTTTCTCTTTGGTCGGTGCTTCTATCTTTTTCTGAAGCTGTTATATTGTCCTGAAGTGTTCTGCAGTTTTCCATTTCTTTTGATCCTTTTTGGAAAGCCATTGCCTTCCAGCAGTGAAGCTAGTTGTACTTGCAGAAATTTGACATTTTGGTCTGCAATGATATCGTTACTCTAGCTTTAGCCGCTAATTTGGGATCTGTATATGCATGTCATGGACAGCACCTTCCTTGTTCTGTTGTGTCTTTGAGTTATTTCTCTTGTTTTCAATTATGGAGCTACCGTCTGCTTGTTCAAAAACAATATCGGATTGCTTAATTGCTTTGTGTCCCTCATGACATCCCATTTCTGATTCCTTTCTGTTTATTCATGTTGATGCCAGCTTATAGCAGGGTCAGATAATGGCTCACTGAAGTTGTATGACATAGAACATATGCCCTCCATAACAAATGGCCTCCATTCTAGTCCTCGTGCTGTCACTTTTGACGATTTCGAACAATTGACATCTGTTCACGTCAACTCAACAGATGAACTGTTTCTTGCAAGTGGCTACTCAAAGAATGTAGCTTTATATGATATCAATTACGGGAAGCGCATTCAGGTGTTTAATGACATGCACAGAGAGCATATAAATGTCGTGAAGTTCTCGAACCATAATCCATCCATGTTTGCTACCTCATCATTCGATCAAGATGTGAAGCTGTGGGATTTGAGACAAAAACCCATTTGGCCTTGCTATACAACTTCAAGCACCAAGGGAAATGTGATGGTTTGCTTTTCCCCAGACGATCACTATCTTCTTGTGTCAGCTGTTGACAATGAGGTACGTCCTGATGGGCTGGTAGTCTAAATATGCATGTTCCAACTTGAACTTGTAAGATGCGTTTCCCTTGAGATTAACATGCAAGACTACATACTACATGTGTCTCTTGCCAGGTTCGACAACTTTTGGCTGTTGATGGAAGGCTTCACATGAGTTTTGACATACCGCATACTGGGAGTGCACAGAATTACACTAGATCCTACTACATGAATGGTAGGGATTACATTATAAGTGGGAGTTGTGATGAGCAAGTGGTCCGTGTTTGCTGTGCTCAAACTGGGAGGCGTCTAAGAGATATTTCCTTGGAGGTACTCTAGTTGTCCATTTAAACATTACTTCTTTTGGAACCCTTGAAGAGTTATGATGAACAATTTTGTTTTGCTGTGGGTTTTGGTTACTTCATATGCCATCCAGAATTGATTTGGAAATCGTCTCGGAGATGTTTCTAACTTGCGATGAATGTTGTACTCTGTTATTTGCTTTTCGCAAACTTGAAGCTAGACCAGGACTGTAAAATATTTTCATCAATGTGCTGGAGGCGCCAACCTTCTTAATTGAACCTAGTTAAATAGGATTTCATAAATATTAAGAAGCATTTTGTTTTCTTTTTTCATTTGTCATGCTGATTCACTATAGCTCATTATGCAGGGAAAAGGCCTAGGGTCTTCCATGTATGTGCAATCCTTGAGGGGTGATCCTTTCAGAGTAAGTTCTATATAGTCTTACCACCTATTTGGAACTTTCTGCGTTTGATTGCATTGCGATAAATCAGGAAATTATGTAGTTTCCGGATTCTGATAGAGTGGGATGGTCATTTGCTGCACCATTAGACTCCAACTTTAACTGGTTCCTGTTTTTAAACTGACGAGATTAGCGAAATGATGATGGGTTAATGCAGGATTTCAACATGAGCATCTTGGCTGCCTACATGAGACCAAGCTCCAGGTCTGAGATCGTCAAGGTAATGCAACATTTGACTTGCGTTTGCTACAGTCGAATGCTCTTGGTTGATTGTTCTTTCAGGGTATATCTCTTCCACTTTGCCGTCCTCAGTGAGATGAAGTATACGGTTGGTTTATGCAGGTGAATTTATTAGCATCTCCACAGAAACCCGGTGAAGAGTGTTGCAGTCCTTATTCGAGACCATCGAACAGAATGGGTGGTTGATACGATGAATTGTTCGTGTGAGTTGTCTGGAAGCAAATAAAATTCATGCTTTGTACATAATTCAAGATACAGCCTCCAGCAATTAATTAAGCATGGAAGTCAGAGAAGTTACTGCTGAAGGGTGGGACTCTGTAAATATGCTGGGTGCAAAGCTCAGTTACGTTGAAATATACCCGTAGGAAGTTATTTGATTCCTAATTTCTGCTGAGAATGCAGTTGTAGGTGTACAGAAGCTTTTAACCATTGGGATTTGCTGGAACTGCGAAAGCCAAAAGCCCAAAATTATGTCCTCTCTTTATTTGTTGTATGTTTCGTAGCATGTAGGCGAAGTTATTAAAATATGAACCCAAACAGCAGTAATCATTCATGTAACGAACCCGTGAAGTTATCATTTAACTTTAACAACAAGAGGCCACTAACAAAAGTCTGTTTGATGGCCTAAACGACGTGTTACCTCTGTATTTAAAAATTCGAAATGTTTACGAGTAGTGACAGATCCAGGAATTTTACTTAGTGGTATTATTTTTTCAGAAAATTTAAATAAAAATAATAATTTCTCAAAAGAATACTTGAGTTCTTAAAAATACAATACTCGACTACGAAGAGGAGGGAATGGAGAATGATAACTTTGCTCCTTCGTTTATCTTTGTGACGATCATAGGGGAAGTTATAACAGAAATTAGAGCTTGTGTTTAGCGTTTGGATGAAAATATTGGGTAAAATAGGATTCAATTGGACTTATTTTAATTAGTGATAGGCCTGATGGCAAAGGGATCGGACATTTAGCCATGTAAAACAACAATATTTTGGATGATGAAAGATATCATGTTATATGATTCAGGGTATGAATGACATAAGTATTGGTGGGTATGTTGTATAATATGAATTTGTCTATAGTGACAAGGGTAACGCAACCATATCTAATGCTTCTATTAGTAACAAACTTTTAAGTGACGACTGGTTCGTCGCAAAATGTTCTAGTTTGGTCACAAAGTATGCAAGGGTTTATAGTGACCAAACTTAGTTCGACACAAAATGTTTCTACTTTCGTCACAAATTATACAAGGGAATTAACACTCACGATTATTCCTATATTCTCCTACAACAAGGTTTTTAACCTTGCTAGTTGTAGAAATGAGTTTAGCAAAGGTGGTAATTAACCCTTGTTACATAAATCTCTTTGCGGAATTTTACAAAGACGTGTACCAAGGGTTTCAACCCTTGTTATAACCTTTGCAGGAACTTCCACTAAGGGTCGCTTAAAACCCCTTGCTACACATAGCAATGGCAGCTTTGCCAAGGATACGCCCAAGAGTTGGTAGAACCTTCGTTATAGCTTGTATAGCAAGGGGTTAAAACCCTCTATATGGCTGAAAATAACCCTCGATACTTCCACTAAGGGTCGCTTAAAAATTCCTTGCTACACATAACAAGGCCAGCTTTGCCAAGGATACGTCCAGGGGTGGGTTGAACCTTCGTTATAGCTTGTATAGCGAGGGTTAAAACTTAAAACCCTCGATATTGCTGAAAATAACCCTTAGCACAAGGTCTCTTTTTTTTTTTGTAGTGTGCTAGCTAGGCCGCTTGTGAAACTCAAAAAACAAACAACATCAGTAGCCGGCCGGAGAGGTTCTTACTTTCTCGTGAACTAGTCCCGACTTGCTGGAGATATACACCACGTTATTAAATCCTTATCTCGCGTTATTGTTTTCCTCCGATTAATTTGTCCTATTTTACACTCACACACACCATGAAAATGAAAGTGAAAGACTTTTATTGAAACAAACACACCGGCGACGTAAAAAAAAAAACACAAGTTTTACAATCTGGTACCCGCCGGTGGATGATTCCTGATGAACTTGATGGTGATCCAGCTCATCCCCTTCACACCGTAATCCGAAAGAGCAGCACCAGGATCGTCGAGCGCATCATTTCCAGCACTCAGCACCATATCCTCCGGCCGAATCTCCAGCAGGCCCATAATGTGCAGTTTCTCCACAATCATCGCCGTGAAATCCCTCACGGTGACGGAGTCGTAGCACGTGATGAAGTCGCCGTCCAGCCAGGTCGGGTAGCCGACGAACCGGAGCATCACCTTGATGGGTAGAGGATCGATCTCCAGCAACAACAACCTCCTCCCGCCGCCGGCGCCGCCGGCGGCGGCCGACGACGACTTGATGATTCCGTAGGAAGCGAGCGTCCGGTCGTTGTCCATCTCCGTCTGCCGCGGCGGCGGCGCGGCCGCCGGGAGGAGCAGGTTCTGCCGCCACACCGATATGTTGGAGCGGGACGCGATCTTCTGCTTCACGTCCATCACCGTGGCGGATGGGAGGAACGAGTAGAGGTTCCCGCCGATGTCCAGCTCGCACCTGCCGCCGTCGTCGTCGTTGCTGCCCATTTCTACGCTGCTTAATTGAGTAATTTTGGGTTGTAGTAGTGTTTGTTTATATTAATTTATCTGGGTGGGACGCGGCCAAATTAATCGGCTGATCTGTTTAGGGGATTAGGGATGCTGTTATTAATAAATAAATATATCGACTGGTTGTTAAAATGGTGGAATATTAGTATTTTCTGTTGCAATGCAACTTTGACTATTTCTGGATTATTAATAAATGATAGTGGCATGTTAATTATTCTTATCAATGTTAATTTTTTTTTTACATCGAATCGACGAAACCATATAGAATGTTAATACTTTAAGTGTTAGCACTATACTAAAAACAATTTATTAATGGTATTATGATAATTACTATTCACAACAGTTTCTTCTTCCGTCCCGTCCTCCCGCCATCGAACCCGGCCTCCACTTCTCTCCCTTTGTGTGAAAAAAATAAATCGATAGGTTATATACTGATAAAAATTATTTCACCATCGTAATCTTTTTGTATTACCTGTTTTCTTCAATAATGTTTGTAGTTTGCTTCGTGAGGGTTTTTTGGTTTACTTTTTTTTATCACCGTTGATTGTTTTACACTTGATCGACGAAACCATACAGGATGTTAATACTTTTAAGTGTTAATACGTTATATATCCCTCGCATCAAAATGGTGAAAATACATCCATTGCATGTACGAATTATAAATGATTGGCTACATATATAGTAATTAAGCTCTATTCCCATCAATTAAAACGATATTAAAACTGCATGCAAGTACCTAAACAACAAATTACAACTTGGAACATTTCACGAACAGACACTACTCTAAACAACAAACAACAATTCCCATCCAGGTCTAAGACGACATAAACCGCCCTTAGGGTTTTTTAACTGGCTACATAACATCTAGAGAGAGAGAGAGAGAACGAAAAAAAAATAACAACACTGATTTTCCAGGCACAACTACATTCGCTCCAACGTTGGGCAAAATAAATAAGAATTAAGAACTTTTCTAGCAAACACATTTCAGATCACTGATCCTCAGAAATGTCGCCTGGGGAACTCATTCATCATCATCATCACACTCGGACCGGCACGATGCTGCTGCAGGTGCTTGTTGTTCCCTGATCTGCTGGTTCGAGCCAGCACCTTCTTGCCATGAAGATGGCTGTGCAAATACGGGTACTGCTCTTGAATCATATTAACCAGTTTGTTCTGCAGAACACCCTGTGACATCGAAAACAAAGATAATTAATAATTACCACAAGAGGTTAACTACTCAAATCAATGAACTGACTTAATACTTCAATTAATTACCTCAGATCTTTTGAGTGCCGTCTGAGCAACATAATTGCCGTAAGGATCCTGGAGAAAGTCGAGAAACTGAGGGCTGTTCATGATCTCGTTGATGATCACCGCCTTCTCCTTGTCCCCGCAGATCCGCAGGCACTTCTCCACCACGTTGCTGCCGTACTTGCTCATCGACAGGCCGACGTGGTTCCCGATCAACCTGTTCACTATCCTCCCGTTCACCGCCTCCATCCTCAGCTCGATTACATACTGCACAACATAGTTCCTGAAACAACAACAACAATAATAATCATCATTCATCATTGGTGATTTATTTTGCTTGATTGATTGGCAAATGCATTCCTACCCGAAAGGATGTTCGGAGAGGTTTAGGGCATTCGAGACGATTCGAGCACAAAGATGATCCAGGAGTTCAGCTTCACCGTAAATCTTAGCGTAACTCACAGCGCCTTGCACCACACAGCACCCGCTCTTGTCCATCGAGAGATCCAGACAGTGTTCTGCTATTTGCTCCAGCACATACTGTTATACGATCGCACAAGCGATCAAAATTAGACAAAAAAGAGCAAAGAAACTCCGCCAATCACTAGTAGTAGCATTTTGTAAACGTACCTTCATGCTCCGATCTCCGACGAAACATTTCAAGCACTGTTGAACGACATGCTGCCCGTGCTGATCCTTGCACATCCTGATGACCGCGTTCTCCATCGTCGACAAGAAGGAAGCCCTCTGATCCGCAGCTTGGATGTGTTGTATCATCTTTTGCACCGCTCGAGTCCTGCGAGTTGCTCGATTAATTAAATATTCCATATGTTCGTGTTACGTATTATCGATCCAATTCGGACACATTTTTAGAATTTAGGTTATAAATTTTCCTAGATTGGTTGTTGTAACTATAGAATGTGATGATTGGGGTTTATCAGTAAGCGATATGCGTTTATACCCGTGCTGGTGGAGGCAGGTATCTACGAATCTGTCCCTGTGGGCTCTGACGACGAGCAGAATCTGAGCCATCTGATCGTAACTGCAGAGCTCGAATATCTTCTGCACGAGATGATTCCCGTACTGATCCTCCATCAGCTCGTTCAGGTTCGCCTTCACCCCGGCGAAGATCAGCTCCCCAAGCTGATCGGAGTTGTTGTGGTGGTGGTGGCGGCTCTCCCAAATCGCCTGCAGCGCCCTGGAGCTCTCTTTCGCCTTCGCCAGCTCCACAAGTCTCTCCCTCACATCCTCCGGCGAGTAGCAGGACGACGCCGTAGTAGTCGTCGTCGTCCTGTTCTTGTAACCGGTCTCCAATAAGCTACCGTACCGCTGACGTGGTGGGCGGTGATTGGACGGCAGAAGCTGCGGCTTGTCGTTCTTCAAGATACGATCGTACGAGGAATGATTGCGATGATGATGATGACGACGACGAGGATCGTAATTATCGTCGGTCACGGTGACGTCATCGAAGCCGAAACCGTACGGATTTTGATTCCGGATGAAATTAGGGCAGTTGGCGGCGGTGGCGGGGCTTGAATTCGGCGGAGGGAAGAGATCGGTGATGTCGGTTCTTCTCCCTCCTCTCGTCAAGCTGTTCAGAGACTGAAATCTCGTGTCGGACAAGGAGCCCGCGGCCGGCGGGAAGGCTAATTGAGATGGCCACGGTGGTTGAGCCGCCGCCGCCGCCGCGGTGGCCAGGTTCATCCGGGCGAAAGCCGATTCCAGATCATGAAGATGACTTTGATTGTTGTTGTTGTTGTTCATAATCAACTGCAAATTGACGGAATCCAGACCGCCGGCGGCGGCGGCGGTGTAAGCTGGGAGATCGGCGGCGGCGGCGAGCTGATTGGGATTCATGTAAGGAAGCAGGAGTTGCTGCTGCTGCTGCCATGGGAAGGAGTGGTTGTTGACCGGGTCAGCGGCGTAGTAATTATTAGGGTTTTGGTAGTTCTTGGCGGCGGTGAAGAGCAATTGGTGTTGTTGATATGGATGGTTGTCATTTGGATCGTCAATTCGCCGCGCCATTATTGATGATGACTGGTTTTTTTTTTTTTTTTTGGGGTGGGTTTAGGGTTTACAGAAGACGGGGGGAAGTAGTCGGTTGCATGGAGAAAGAAGGAGAAGGTTAGCTTTTTACCGGGAGAGAGCGGATATGGAGGAGAAAGAGTTAGAGTGGAGTTAGAATTATTTGGGGATTGTATTAATCCAAACTAATTTTGTTCTTCTTCTTCTTCTTCTTCCTAGTTGGATACTCAGTTTGTTTTATACTTCAATCACTGGATGGGAAACGGTATCAGAGGTGAAATGTAGGGTATTTTATATTAAAATCTTGGTTTAATCGAAGTTTAATAATTTTATATTGTTAATTTAGATTTTGATATAAAATTTTTTAGTCAGACAACCAATATAATACGGTTTTACAAACACTAGTTCTTATTACGTCGGTTGTTCCGGTGCAAATAAATTTTGTTATGTGGGTATTCAAAAACCTATAAAGGTGCTTATTAGGTAACTTGGAGAATTCTCAAGTCATTGAGGTGAAAAATTATTTGAAATACAAAAAATTTAGTTAATGATTTATTTATAAGTTGTATTTCTCTTCTTTTAATACTTTCTTTACTTTTAAGTTTTAACCAATCATTTTTTTTGTTTTTTCTTCTGTATTATGTCGATATACGCAGCAGTCGACCAATATCTGAAAGCAACATATATCAAATTTGTTTAAACCGAAAGTATCTCATTAAACCTTACTGAGTAAACTGTATATTCATTTTTACTAAAAATTAATAATAATTTACATTTTGATAAATAAAAAATTAAAAAATCACACACATAAGTTATAATATTTTTGTCGTTATAAGAAAATAATATTTTGTCGATTTAAAATGTTATAAAGATGGAAACAGAAAGTGAAGTAGATTGTGATATTATTAAACCAAAAATATAGGATTGAATCAAATAAATTTTCTACTCATATTTTTCAAAACTTAATAATAAGTTACATTTTGATAAAACAATTAAACAAACACACGTAAATAATAATAATTTTGTTCATTAAACAAAATATAACAATGGAAATGAGAAAACAATCATCAGCAGAAGGAAAGGAAGAAGCAAAAACTTTCACATGTAGTCATTGACATTCAATCAAGTTTGGGAAATAACTATATTAATTTATAGGACTTTGCTACGGTGACATGCATGTCACGGTGACATGCACTTTTCGGTCAACCTCATATAGGATCAGGTCGACCTAATCAGTTGTTTCAGCGTAAAAACAGTTTCATGGTGCCTACTTTGGAGATTCATATCTTACAATTGGCTAGATGGAAATTGGAGATTAAAGGCTTGTTTTGAAGCTGAAGTGTCCCTCTACACATTAAAGTACTTGGGAGCTCAATAGAAAGTCCAAAAGACAATTTTTGAACCTGACCAAAAGGCTATGCCAAAACTGGGAAACTGCCTGAAAATGGCTAAGTCTGGCAACGTGTTTGTCAAGCCTACTTTGGAGCTCAATTTGAGAAGCATGGATGCGAGTCAAGTCCAGGGGCCTCTACCACGTTAAATTACGTATTTTTTTATACAAAGGCAAGGCATTGAATGAAAGATTGAATATCTTTAAGGCTTCAAACAAAAGGCTCGAAGTTGCTACGAAGACTGTTTTTCTAGCAGCTTGCTTGTGCTCGAAGTCTGCCAGAAAAACAGCCTTCGTAGCAACTTCGACCCTTTTGTTTGAAGCCTTAAAGATATCCAATCTTTCATCCAATTCCTTGAATTTGTATAAAAACATACCTAAGTTAACGTGGTAGAGGCTCCTGGACTCGACTCGCATTCATGCTTCTCGAATTGAGCTCAAAAATAGGCTTCACAAACACGTTTCCAGACTTAGCCATTTCTAGGCAGTTTCTCAGTTTTGGCATAGCCTTTTGATGAGGTTAAAAAATGGTCTTCTGGACTTCCTATCGAGCTCTCAATCACTTCAATATGTAGAGTGACACTCCAGCTTCAAAACAAGTCATTAGTCTTTAATTTCCATCTAGCCAATTGTATGATATGAATATCCAAAGTAGGCACCATGAACTGTTTTTACACTGAAACAACATATTAGGTCGACCGGATCCTATATGAGGTCGACCGAATCCTAAATGTGGTCGACCGGATCCTATATGAGGTCGACCGAATTCTAACTGAGGTCGACCTAATCCTAACTGAGGTCGACCGGAAAGTGCAAGTCACCGTGACATGCATGTCACCGTAGGCACACCCTAATTTATATGTTTGTACATCGCCCTTTTGAGCTTTGTCAAACATGCTTTTATGGCTGATGTATATGTCTATCAACTAAAATAAGTATTAAATAGTAAAATGATGTAAGTTGGAAAAAATTTACAAACAGGAAAATTTAGTTATTTATCTACTTATTGAATTATATCTCTCTTATTTAATATTTTCTTTTCTTTTATCTAATAATTTCTTGTTTTGCATTATATCGATGTACGCAACAGTAGTCTAATTTCTTGTTTTGCATTTTATCTAACACTCACCTTCGGCTACCCTAATCTTCGTAACACTCTCGTAGTCTGATCGAGCCACAGAGGGTTCCCAAGCATACTAGTCAAGCGTGTAAAAATGCGGTCTGTGACATACTCTGCTAGCAAGTCATGCAAAGGTTACCCACACTGGAATAGTAGAGTGGCATTCAATAGCTCAAATTCACGGGATTCATTTACGCAGAAAATACGTATAGTTCTGGAAGTGTCGCGGGCCACTCAAGAATGCCCAACTCGTCGAAGCCTCCGCTACGGGAATTGAAATAGAATTAGGTTTCCAGCCAACCATGAAACCCTAAATTCAGCCATCCTTCCCCTCAGACAATTCGCCCAAAGCTACAATTGCCTGATGTGTGGTGTAGAGTGGAGAAATTCCACGAATAAACAGTTCGACCACCACGAGATGCCTTCCTGTTCCTGCACCAGCTTGACTAGTATGCTCTAAAATTATAGGGCTAGAAATAATGTTTAATTTACAATAAAATTACTAATACCATCACATTTCGGTTATAAAATGCTTTTTCTCTGTTTTTGTTTTATGATTATTCTCTGTGGCATAATAAAAAGCTAATCTTTTACCAGCACCTGAATGAAATAATGACCGAAATAAATATAAATAAATAAAAAGTGGCGTTCTCATATCTACAGTACTGATACGCAGTAATTGCATACTGCTTCCTTCTTCCTTTCCTTGCTGGAAAAAAGAATCTTGTGTGCAGTGATGATGCCCTGGCATCTATTTACATCTACAAAAACATGCTTAATCCGACCGGCTTCAATTTGCATCGCTTTCTCCATCATTTGTCAAGGACAGGAGTTCCGACAGTTCAATACGATACTCGAGGCCCCGTAGGTAGTGTCCCAGCAGCATGCACCTAAGGCCACAACAGAAGAAATTTAAAGCTGTGAAGAAGGCTCGGCCACGAGAAGGCAACAACAAAAGCTCTATAGCCAAAATCAGATGGCAACCTTCATCAAAACAAACACATTTTCGAGCATCTTCAGCAGTTAGTTTTAGCGCATGCAATTTTCCATTCAAACCGTATCATCCGACACATGTCGTGATTATTATCCTCCACCAACACATTTGAAATCCCTGATCTAAAGCTGTCACAAATCCCAGATTGAGTGTCGATGCATACTCGGAGTGCTTAATGCCTAAATCTTCATTAGTTAAGAAGAAAAATCATAACACAACAGAAGGCCAAGGATTCAGGTCTCACCAGAAAAGTAGGCGTGCCAGATAGTCCCTGGTCAATGAAATCTGCGGCTGGAACTGAAGTGAAGTGTTCTCAACAAGTTCAGCACAATCTTCACCACCACCGTTCACAGATCCAGCTGATGTGGACTCTGATTGAGGGGGAGGCTTAGAGTGCATCTTTGGAGAAAGAGTTGCAAGAAGACCATGAACTACAGAGTGAATTGTCTCTTTCAATTCATGGGATGTAGGTTCAGACAGCTCGGCTACCTGTTCATGCAGGAATAGCATCAGATGCAAGCAAAATATAAAAAATAAAGAGAACACCACGTTACAAGAGGCTGGCAAGATTATCTAAGACACATAGCACCATGAGGAATATGGGAATCAGAAATGACAAAA